ATTCTAAAATCAAGTTTCATGTTAAAAAGAAAATGAATGAATAAACGAACACTAATGATATATTATTGAAATAATTATAAAGAAAAATTTAGTGTATAAACGAAGCTGAAGTTAAAAATAATAATTTTATTTAAATCGTTCGTTATCTATTCTACGTTAGATGTAAGAGTCATTGATTTAAAAGTATACGCTGTCGCCAAACCATAGTTTTTACATAAGTTTCTTTGTCACGATGTCACAATGTCGGTCGATTGGTTGATTCGCTTCGCTTCTCCTTCCCTGACTTTCTCATTTCGATAGATCAATCAGAAAAGGCTGTTTTCTTGCCATTACAATCTGCCCGCGCATCCTTATCGTGGTTAGAAATTTTAATGATCCTCTCGATCGATGAGAGTTCGATATCAAAGAAATTTATACTTTATCTTTTCCCTTATTATATACTTTGATATACAAAATTTCGAAATTAAAACGTTAAAGTGTTTTGAATTTTTCGCGGGCCGAAAGATTAATCATGGCGCCATCTACGTCGAGCACTTACCGAGCTGGAAGAGAGATGATATTTTTTATTTTTAATGATAAGTATTTTTATTAGATAAAAATTGAAGGGATAAAGAGTACATTACTTACACAAAGATGAACATCAAATATATTTCAAAATTATGGGATCTACCACAATAATTTTTTTCAAATTATAGGAAACTTTCAATAAATTATCTACGATCTTATCGTAGCTTTTACTTGATTTTCTACGATGTAGTATATCATGTATCAGTACTGAAATATTTATTAAAACATGCATGTGAAATACTACAAATACAAATTGCTGATTTTTTAAAAACAATCTGTTTTATTGAAAATCGTTCATATTATCTGAAATGACGGAAAACATATTTCAAAGAAAGTATACTTAAATTATTCATTTTTTATAACAATATTAGTCTTCTGTTTTATACTTAAGTTATAGAAAATTAAAAAAAAAAAAAAATGTGGTGTCAGCTATGTAATTTACAAAAAAATGTGAATGTTATTCTGCATGAAATAAGACGTTATTGCTTATCGAAGTAAGCTTGCCTCCGCGAAGAATGGAACGCGGGGGATTCGAAGAATGCGAGGTGCGTGTAACAGGCGTGACCTTCCCAAGGTCAGACAGTGTGCAAAGGAACAATGCACACGGGACTTCAGCCGTGGTAGTCTACTGCGATACAATATGACTGGTAACAGCAATTACGGTTTCAACCGAAGAAAACACCGTGTGCCTGTACCTTTGATCATTCAGCTATTCATAAATGCAAACACTGTTGATATCGATTGTTACTATTCAAAAATGTTCAATCAATGCAAATTACACATTTTCACGACAATAAAATAACAATTTTTTAATAACGTAACATAAATATAAAAAAATATTTGCAATTTTATACTAAAATATTATGAATGTTCTCATATCTCTTTTAATTATTTTATTTATAATGATACATAGTGCATAAGTGTTAACTCCATGTATGTAAATATATGAGTATAGTAAAAGATTTAAGTTGTGTATGTTTATTTGATTATAAATTGACGTTCGAGGTTTTGGTTTTTATTTACTTTCATTTTATTTACATTTGTAACGTTTAACAAAAATTTAGATAATTAATTTTTTCATTTTAGTCTGCCTTATACTCTATCTTTTTAAATTAGTGCTTGTAGTTATTTAATACATTTTAAAATTGAATCAGCGCTGAAATTGTAATTTTAAAATTGACCTAACAGCGCACCCTAGTGCTGAACATCGAAATTCAATATAACTTAAAATAAAGAATCTTTCGAATGTTTTTCTATTGGTAACAAACCTGTTCCTGCCAGACCTTTTATTTCAATATGCGTTAATGTAAATACCTAATATAATAAAATAAGAACATTACATGGTGTATGATGAGTTTGTCTAAATTTTTGTTAAAACTTTGATATAAAAGTATCATAAAATATTATATTTATTAGGTATAGATGCATTATAAACATACAGAGTCCGCAATATTAAATAATAGACAATAATAAGACGTGCAATAGATACAGTATATTTGATTTTATGTATAGAAAAAATCAAAAACAAAATATTTAATGCAAAATTAAATTTTTTTTATAAATAAAGTTATTTGTATAATTGTTCGAAGATATGATAAAAATTTGAATGAATCAACTTTTTCTTTCAAAACATAGAAATTAAAATGAATTTATTAATGAATTTTTATATAAGATGTGACATTTTCTATAAAATTTTTAAATAATGAGGTAAAGCAGAATTGTGATATTAGATACATGTATTATTGAAACATTGTTGTAGATGCATTATTCATATATTGAGCATTATATATCAAATTTAGAAATTGTGAATTATTAATTGAATGAAGATTTCACACAATGAAAGATTTAACGCCGATTCTATATTGTTATGTTATATTGAAAATATAAGGATTTTCTTTTTTCAATAAATGTACGATTCTTAGTTATTTTAGACAGTGATATATTTACATATAACTGTAGATTTTAAGTAACAGAACTGTTTGTTTCACTTATATTTGCACTAGCCGCTTCATTATCAGTTACTATTTCATTGGTTAATTCATCGTTCGTGATTGATTCTGTTTTATTTGACATCATTATCAGTTTATGATTGTGACATCTAGTTAAAGGCAAATATGATGCTATTTCGCTTGGTTCAACAAACAATGATGGTGGAGCCTAAAAGAAAGTAAAATGTTGGATCTGAATATTTATTTTGTTTATGCAAAAATTCTATAACTGAAGAAATATGAACGAAAAGCAAACATAGTATATTTTATCAACAATGGCAGCTGTGAAAAGGATAGTGTGCAAAAAAGCACAAGTTATTCCATCAATATGGAATTCAGTGATACAAATCTTAAAATTAATCAATAATAATCATTGACGTATCATATTGCAATGTATTGCAATGTATTGCAATGGTTATTGCAATAAGGTGGTCCTTTATGAGTAGTTATAATAACTTTATCGGATATTAAAAATATATATTAAATAATTTCTTACACGTATTTCTTCAACCTTGGCTTCTCGCGATGTGTATTCTCTCAATATGTAATCTTGACCAAATTCATGATATAATCGTGTATCATTTATCCTCAACATTACACCATCAATCCTCAGGAAGTATCTTAATAAAATGAAAAAACTACTCGGCATAACACGCTATTAAAAATAATAATAAAGTAAACTAAGCTATATTTTTTTCTTTTAAGAGTAAATGTATCCATATACACTTACAATTTTTACAGAACAAACTGCAATGCCATTGTCATGAAGTTCATCTTCAAACAATGTTAAATCATGGTAGAAAAGAATTTTTTCCCTTCTCTTTAATTTATCAACATCAATCCGTTCATTAGTTTCTTGAATCTCAAAATTGGATATTGTTCCAGTATAAGTGGTGGTGAATGTCCAATCAAACGGTTTTACTTTTTCTTCTAAATATTCGCTGCTTTCTGATCTGTAAAATATGTAAATATATTGTTACTATTAAAAATATATTCATAAACAAGAAAATATATATCTCTACCTGGATTCTTTCCAAGCTTCTGCACACGCTAACTGAACGTTAATTTTTCCATTTGATACAGTTTTTAAAGCATCTAAAGCATTAAATTGTATGAATGCTCCATCCTGGTGTTTTAAAGTTAATATATTATTTGGGAATACCATATCCGGCATGTGTGGCAATTCTAAAGTGTGGCTGAAACTATAGAATTACATATGTGATATATCTATCATAGTTTTATATGTAATTAAAATTATCTGACATACATGCAAAATTGGCAGGCATGAACATCCTTATTGCCACAACCATTTTCACTTTTGGAACATTTAGAATGAAGTATATGCGATTGTGTGTATTTAATATGCCACGGATGAAATACATGTTCTTCTTGATTAACAGGAAGTCTCAAAATGTCAATTCCACCATGAACTTTCACTGATGTCATGATCTAAAATTATATACCAATAATATATCATATATTGATATATATTTGAAAATTTACATAGTAATCATTTTAAAAAATATTAATATTCATACAATATAATGACAAATATTAATAATATAGTCTTATACTGAGTGAAATAATAGATGATATATTACTTATTGATTAATATATAATAGATGATATATTACTTATTGAAAATATTGATTAAAAAATAAAATACAGCAATTATATATATTGACGTAACAACCTAATACATTTTAATTATAAATTTTTGCATTTTTATCATATGCTATAGTACAATATTAAATTCTATATATTTTATTATTTTTATAATAGATATTTGATTTATTCTTATTTACCTAACTATTTGTCATATACTATTGTGTTTTCTAACCTTTCACATAATATTAACATATAAGCTACTCTAAGCATACTCACAAAAATTGATTTTAATTGTCAAAATTGTTTCTAAAAAGCATCACGAATATTACTTCAACTATCTAACTATCGTTGCTATTTCTGTTTGAACGTTTACCCTTTTTCGTTATTACAAATTTCTTTTGAACATGACAATAGCAGTACATTCATAATACTTCATTACGGACTGTACAGAGAGCGCTTATTTTCTCGAAAAAACATGCACATACACTTTTACCATCGACTAATGAAATAATAGATCGGACATGAAATCAGACTTTCTATCTCAGAGTTTGACATACCGACCAGTAAAAAAAAATCACTGATTTTCTAGCGCATTTTACGTTATAGCACAGACGAAGTACATGTTCATTGACTATGAGCTAATTGACATTGGCTAAAGCAACTGACGAATTGGAAAACTATACTAATTGTAAATAAAATGATACAAGTCCAGACGAGGAGTCTAGAAAGAATTAAACTTAAATTAAGTTTAATTGTTACAAACAAGCTAAATAATGGTCGAATAATCATTAAAAATATAGAAAATAATATAATTGTCAATAATGAATTGTCTAATGAATTGTCATGAACTGAAACTATGAAACTATGAAATAAGCTTCAGATTTAAGTTTGAGCTTAAAACATGGAACACCTGTCACATTTTCCTATAACCTTGAGCCAGATAAAATAAGAACTCAGTATTCTTTAAGAAGAAGACTTGCATTTAATTAGAGCCCACGGCGGGTCTCGTGTGCAGCATTTCCTCGTGGTGAGACCTGGTATTTGATGTTTTCCAAAATTAAACTTTTGCAAAAAACTGAGAATTACGCAATATACAGTCCAGTTTACATTGTGCAAAATTCTTTCATTTGACTTAATAAATTGGACTGTAGGAATAATTATTACTTAATAAATAATTATTCGAAAAAAAATTAGAGTTTTCAGAAGAATATCTCTTAATTTTTGAGAGACTACCACTTAAAGAGTTTTCGAAAACATAAGGAAAAAAATAAGCCTCGAGGAGGTAACACGCCAAAGCCCCCCTTCGGGCGGTGCCTTTAATATAGATGATTTTAGAAAAATTTTTAGGCTGGAATATCTCGAGAATTAGGGAATATTCTTCGATGAAAATTCGAATCTCTTTTCCTAGTAATTTACTTATTAACTAATTATTCCTATTGTCCAGTTTACTCAGTTGCCGAATTGGACTGTAGGTTGCATAGTTCTCAGCTTGATATCATTTTGCAAAAATTTAATTTTGAAAAACGATATTAATTACCAGATCTCACCACAAGAAGGTGACTATGCATATGACTTGCCCTGAGCTCTAATCAAATACTTTTATTCTATTTGACTTAGAGTTACTGAAAAAGGAGACAAATCCATAGTTTAAGCTCAAACTTGAATCTGAAGCATATTCCATAGTTTCAATAATTTATTTATGACAATTAACTGTTTTCTATCTTTCTAAAAATTATTCCACAGTTATTTAGCTTATTTATAAGGATTCAACAAGTTTAATTTCTTTTATACTCTGTGCTAGTGTTTTACTTCTATAGTTCTCCAATCCACCGTTGTGTAGAATGCGCTGAAAAGCTAGTGATTTTTTTTTTTTGGTCGGTATTTCAGACTCTGAGACACGAATCTCATTTAACGTCTGGTCTATCCTATCCTTAGTCAATGCTTATAAACATATATGAATATATCTTATCTGTGCTTATACTTGTTTTTTGTATTTATTTCTGTTTTAAAAAGGACGTTCCATTGCAGTCAATTTAAATTACAATTTAATTGTAATTTCAAATCTGAAATGAAGCGGAAATATATTTATAATAAATTTTATTATGAATGCGGTTGAAGAAATTAAAAATTTCAGTACGTTTAAGTTGTTAATTAAAATATATTTCTGTAAGATATATTTTAAAAGCTAAATATTTAGGAAATTAATACTAAATCAGATTGAATTTAATAAATAAAATATAACAAGAAAAGATATAACAATGATCAAGCCACAGGCGCCACGTATGAAAATTTAGTACTAATCGTGTTTCCCAAAGATGCCTGACAAATTTAAATTCTGGACAAAGTTTTAAGACCACAGTTCCTTCGCTCTTCTATACAGAAATAACCGAAGTGATTGTAGAAGTTTCGGGCGAACCCAATCAGTCTTCCTCGAGTGTAGGAAGCAGTTGCATGCTCTTTAAAACTCGTGTGTTTAAAATGTCGATTAAAAAATCGAATTTATCGGTGGCATTTGTCCAAGGAAATACCGAACGAACTACCGAAGAGAGAAGATTTTTTCAAAAAATATATATACAAAAAGTCAAGTCGATCGCTGGTCACGTAGGATTGTTGATTGCATTGATGCTTTATACAGCAATCGGTGGTTTGGTGAGTCAAAGCTTTAAACATATGCACAAGAAAAGAAAACTAAAACAAATAACGCTATTCTATTTTCTTAAAAAAGTAATTATATAAAAAGCACTGTTAAACATAAAAAAATAGTCTTTTGTAAGTCTTTTATAAGTATTAAAATCCACAAAAAATTTTAATAATAAATGATGTTCAACTGCATCTTTTTAAATGTACCAAAGAATGTTCAAACTTCTTTAACTATTTACGTAAGTTTAGAGAATGCAATATTTACAGAAATAACAACGCAGAGCTGGATTTCCAATTGGTATCTTTATTTTTAGCAATGGACCAATCGCATGACTCGATGCGATTAATCTATGTGGCTAACCTCCTTTGTTAAATATTTGTATATATAGTTTCTTTTTTAGTTTGTAATTCTTCAAAAATTAATATATCATGTATCATATATTTTCGCAAAAATATTAATTCGGAACATCTCTCGCAAAATAAAATAACTAACGACATTATCAAAATGCAAGTCGAACGTGTAGTTAAAGTATGTAAAATGATATTAAACAACCAACCACTAAGAGTCAAGAGATTAACAAACAAATATATTAAATGTTATTTGTAAATAATGTTAATTTCTTGCATTGAAGCTATGCAATTTTAAGACATTATTGAAATGAACATGTCAGTTATACGCCAACTCGCTAGAAGTTTGATTATTATTATAATTTTTATTGACAGGTCTTTCGGCATATCGAACTTCCGGCAGAGTTAACGCGTTTGGAAGTTTTGCGCGCCAATTTACGCGCTGAAAGATATTCGTTTATTAATGCCGTTTCCAACAATACCGATGTATCAAATTTGCGCACATTAGTAAGTCGATATTTCCATCATTGATGATACATTTCGGGATTTCGATTCGTAGTATTATTCATTTTGCGAATCATCGTTAAAGTCGAATTGATATTCCAATATATGTGCGAGTAGCTTTTGAATAATTAGAAAGGATGAAAGGCAAAGAATATTGACAGGTCAGCGTGAAATTACGTGCTTACGAAGAAGCAGTTCAGGAAGCAGCACAAGGTGGTTTTTTAATTTCTTTCGTGACAGATACTATTGGCCAAGAAAATCGAGATGCGGCAGATTTACCGCCAATCGTAACTGAAAGATGGAGTGTTCTTCAAGCCGTATTTTTTGCGAGCACTGTTCTTACTACGATTGGTAATAAATAATAATTAAACATGTAATTGAAATTTAAATCCACATTAATCGGGATCTGTGTTGCATACAGTTTCTCGATATAATTAACATATAATTTTAAATACTCAAAATTCATAAGTGCAATAAATTTTATGTTTCTGTTTGTTTCTGGTTCTTCGTCCTTTCTTTTGTTTTCTTTTTTCTTTTTGCCGTTTTAAGGATATGGGAACGTTGTACCATCGACTAACGGGGGAAGGATGTTCTGCATCTTATTCGCATTCGTTGGTATACCTTTGACGTTGACAGTAATAGCTGATTGGGGGAAACTGTTCGCCGCAGGTGTAATTAAAATCGGTTTAGCTCTAAAATCGAAACTTCCACTTTTCTTTTCTTTTTCCTGTATTCCGACAAATCTGGCCGGAAGGCGATCACTTGGTAAGTCTGAATAACCCATTTGAATTTGTAAATACAATGGAAAAATCAAAATAACAATTAACTATGTATTCGATGTAATTGCGTCGTTTTCTTATGTATTTTTTATATAAAATAATTTAAATAAATTTTTACATAGAAAAAAAAAATATTATATATGTGTTTTACAGGAGCATTTACAGCGATTATTTTACTTTTTCTATATCTTGCCTGCGGTGCAGGTATGTTCATGTTATGGGAAGATGATTGGAATTTTTTCGATGGATTTTATTTCTGTTTTGTCACGATGACTACGATAGGATTCGGTGATTTAGTACCGAGTAAATATTGACACATGTGTTGGTTACTGTTAAAAGAAATTTCAAAGTGAAACCCGCGACGCATAGGAGAATATTTTGTTATTTGTATGCGTAATTTCTATTATCATTTTTATGCAGAAAAACCGAAGTACACATTATTATGTACTCTTTATATCTTGGTTGGTTTGGCATTAACAAGTACCATTATTGAGCTTGTAAGACGTCAGTATGCTCAATCGTGGCGAAGATTGCAGAGACTTAGTGGACCACTGGCAGAAACTATTCGTAGACTAGGTGAACAAGCTGGTGGAGATATGTCTGCGCTTCATTCAGATCTTCGGTAATTATTATTTGACGAGTTGTATGTAATTTGCTTGTAATTATAATAGTTTCTGAAAATTGTTGTTTAATTAATGCTAATTTTAGAAAAGTTTTGACAGTAATATCAATGCCACGCTTAAAGTGGTCAACTTCCTTTAATCGAGAAGATTCGAAAGATGAAGAATGGGAGGAAGCCGTAGAAGCTGTGCTTCGTGACATTGCTGCGAGCACTAATAATACCCAGCCGAAGAAAAAACAAATAGTACAAATTGTTTTCTACGAGTCGAGTGTCTGACTAAAAGCAAGATTCATAGTCATATTGTCTATTGTTTTCAAAATATGTCTTTGCAATGCTCGATATACACGCTTTTTTTATTTAAACTTAAAAATTTTACCCGCGTAAATGCGCGCGTCGATACATAAAACCGCGAGAGCGCAGAACTGCTAACCCTGAGTTCGATCAGTAGTCCATTAGGTTGGACTGACCAGATCGACGAAAACAATAATTCGTAGACGAGCAATCACTAAATTTAGAAATTATAGTACCGCGCGAAGCAGGACAAGGAACGTTGTTCTGCGTTCGTTGTCGGCTTTTATAGTGACCTTTACTTTTGTTAAGTCGGTGATAATTTTGGTCCAGATCATGCAAAATAGAATCGACCGACCGTCGGCTATTGTGTGTATTGCATATCGTGTGCGTATTAAATCTTTGTAATAAATTCTCTATATAAAGGTCGAATCGCAATGGTGCTCTTGGCAGTTTTCTATTAGAAAAATTTTAGTCATGTGTTTGAAGTCGAGGAATGAAATATATATTAAACAAATTTCTGTGGAAGCAATCTTCTGATTAAAATAGTGATTCATTGTAATTACACAAGTATATTATCTTTTATTATTATAAACCTTTTAACATTGTTTGTAATTTATTCATATTACATAATGCATTACGAGAACTGAATTTACGTGCAAATACTGTTCTTAAATATTTTTAAAAATATAACGTGTATATGTTATACTGACAATGAATTCGTTGTAAATACTCAATATGTCTGACTCTTATGTCATGCCACCCACGTGTATTCATGTCATTATTTCGCGCGTGATTTTTGAATTCGTTAAAATGAAACTTACTATTATAAATCATTATATGATTTTTAGGAAAGGAATATTCTGTCTCGATTGTATTATGATATATTTTTTTACATCAAAGGAATTTTAGTCATTTTTTCACTCAATTTTTCCCTGTTTAGCAATTAAGTATAATGACCGGCATTAAAGATCCGACTGAACAACCAAAGCTGGAAGAAACAAAACCAAAAAATGAACAAATGAATGGTATCATTAAAAAAACGTTCATGGATTTAACAAATACTTATATGCAAGATTTTTTCGAATTCTCTAAAAATATGACAGAATTTATCAGGTGATTGATTTATTAAAACTCTTTTATTACAATGAATAAAATACTCGTTATTTAATATTTTTATTTCTCAGGTCAATAGGAAATGATTTAACAGTTTCCATACAACAATATCAGGAATACATCATGTCACATTTATCTCAACGTGAACAATAAATATAAAGTGAAAATATCGATGTTTTTTGATAGATATGTACATGTTTTTAAAAGATATATAAATTGACCAAAATATTTAAGTTTGCACATTCTTGATGAAATAAAAACGTTATGAATATTTAAGATCGTAAAATTACTTTAATAAAGAAAATTTGGAGAGAAGATAATTATTATTTATCTTCTAGAATATCTTCTATTTCATTTCATTGCTAATAAGTAAAATTTAAGTGA